TCATTACAACCTCAGCCTCCCAGGTTCAAGCAATTCTCTGCCTCAGCCTCCTGAGTAGCTGGGATTACAGGCACCTGCCACCACACCCAGGTAATTTTTGTATTTGTAGTAGAGATGGGGTTTTACCATCTTGGCCAGGCTGGTCTTGAACTCCTCACCTCATGATCCACCCTCCTTGGCCTCCTAAAGTGCTGGGATTACAGGCGTGGCCAGCCGAGAGTGCAGTGGCACAATCATGGCTCAATGCAGCCTTGACCTCCCAACTTCCTGGGCTCAGGCAATCCTACCCTCTGCCTCCCAAGATTCTGGGACTATAGGCACAGGCCACCACTCCTGGATAGTATTTTGCTATTTTTTGTAGAGACAGGGTTTCACCATGTTGCCCAAGCTGGTCTCAAACTCCTGGCTCAAGTGGTCTGCCTGCCTCAACCTCCCAAAGTACTGGGATTACAGCATGAGCCACCGCACCCAGCCTAGGTCTAATTTTTGTTCAATCCAGTGATTCTCCTAAAATTCCCAGGTCTCACTTAATAGGATGTCCAAAGCCAGTCTTGGACGCCATTAGGGAAGACTCCTCTCCTTTTTGCCTTACCTTTCTTGCACATCAAAGTACTTCTGTGAATCACTGTTCTCTAGCTTTTCAAGTGGAGTCTCCTTCCTAGTTGGAGAATAGTGGCTCCTTGTCACTATTGCAAACACCCTTAGGGAGGATGCCTGTGGTTTACTGCCTTGCTTATTATATGTCTACAGTTTTTTCTTAGATTATTTTTTGAATAAATAACTTGGCTTCATTCACCACTCCAGAGACTATTATTGCCACTTTACTATATGCTTACAGTGTTTGTTAAATTATTTAATTTTATTAATTAAAAAAAGTTATTTTGAGACAAGGTCTTGCTAGGTTGCCCAAGCGGTCTCGATCTCGTAGGCTCAAGCTATACTCCTATCTCAGGCTCCCAAGTAGCTAGAATTATAGGTACATAACACCCTGCCTGGCTTAATTTTTATAATAAGTAACACATTCACTTGGTTCAAACATCCTGAGTATAGAAAAAAAAAAATGCAGGTACTCTCACCTTCCTCTTTCTCATCTGCCCAGTTCCCAGCTTTGTAATTTTATTTATTTATTTTTCTTACGTGCTATCATGTCAAAGTACAGTTCCTAGCATTTTAAACAGGCTACCATTGTCATGAATTTCCTGCTCTCTTTTCAGAGGTTTTTAGAAGTGCAAATACAGTCTAATACAAATACATATTCTCTTCCACCTTGGTACAGTATGTACATTTAAAAGAGCGTAAGGAGGCCGGGTGCGGTGGCTCACGCCTGTAATCCCAGCACTTTGGGAGGCCGAGGCGGGCGGATCACGAGGTCAGGAGATCAAGACCATCCTGGCTCACACGGTGAAACCCCGTCTCTACTAAAAAAATACAAAAAATTAGCCGGGCGTGGTGGCTGGTGCCTGTAGTCCCAGCTACTCGGGAGGCCGAGGCAGGAGAATGGCGTGATCTCGGGAGGCGGAGCTTTCAGTGAGCCGAGATCAGGCCACTTCACTCCAGCCTGGGCGACAGAGCGAGACTCTTTCTCAAAAAAAAAAAAAAAAGAAAAAGAAAAGAAAACTTTCTTAGTTAAAACTGATCAGCTTACTTGATTAGAGCATCGTGCTAATAATGCCAATATTAGGGGTCCCCATAGAGACCAGGCCAATATATAATTTCTTTTTTTCTTTTCTTTTTTTTTTTTTTTTTTTTTTCTGAGACAGTCTCACTCTGTCTCCCCAGAACGATCTTGGTTCACTGTTATCTCCACCTCCCGGGTTAAAGCAGTCTCCTGCCTCAGCCTCCCGAGTAGCTGGGACTACAGGAGACTACCACCACGTCCAGCTAACTGTTTTTTGTATTTTTACTACAGACGGGGTTTCACCATGTTGACCAGGCTGGTCTTGAACTCCTGACCTTGTAATCCGCCTGTCTTGGCCTCCCAAAGTGCTGGGATTATAGGCACGAGCCACCCCACCCGGCCGGGATATAATTTCTTTAAAGCCTTGACAGTTTCTAAGTATCAATTCACACATCCACATGAGGTTGCCACGTATCTATTTCTTGAAAACTCCTTTCTGTCATTCAGGGTAAAGAACGTCCAGTTCCCTACTTTGCTCAAAACGGAGCCCTGTTCCTTTTTCGAGATCCCCAAGGAAACTCTGCAGAAAACTGTTGACAAAGGTCTGTTCTCGGGACTCCAAGGAAGCCAGACTCACCTGCATTGCACAGATGGGATCCTGCACATTGGCACCTACTCCGGTAGGCACCACCTGGGCCTCTCAAAGCATGCAGACAAACACAGAGTAAAAAAGAAAGGGAGCGGCCGGGCGCGGTGGCTCGTGCCTGTAATCCCAGCACTTTGGGAGGCTGAGGCAGACGAATCATCTGAGGTCAGGAGTTCAAGACGAGCCTGGCCAACATGGCGAAAACAGGTCTCTACTAATTATCTGGGCGTGGTGGCACGCGCCTGTAATCCCAGGAGGCTGAGGCAGGAAAATCTCTTGAACCTGGGAGGAGAAGGGTGCAGTGGGCCGAGATCGCTCCACTGCACTCCAACCGTGGCAACAAGGTGAGACTCTATCTAAAAAAAAAAAGTAAAGAGGGTAATGGATTCAGGGTTCAACAACATAGCTCAGGACAAAGAAGGGACAAAGGTTCCTGAGATGGCTCAAGATCAAGGAGAGAATACAAAAAGTCTTTCCGTGTTTATGCTTAATAATATGCAAAGATTCTATCGGTTCAAACAGAGACTCACAGAAGCAACATGACTAAAAGAAAAGGCATCATATTTTTGATCCAAAAACCTTTTGCTTGTTAGGCAAAATAGTAACCTCTATACGACAGAAAAAAAATACTCTGGAAGATCTCAGAATAGAAGGAGCTGGCCGGGCGCGTTGGCTCACGCCTGTAATCCCAGCACTTTGGGAGGCCGAGGCAGGTGGATCACTTGAGATCAGGAGTTCAAGAACAATCTGATCAACATGGTAAAACTCCGTCTCTACTAAAAATACAAAAATTAGCCAGGCGTGGTGGCGGGCGCCTGTAATCCCAGCTATTCGGGAGGCTGAGACAGGAGAATCGCTTGAGCCTGGGAGGCGGAGGCTGCAGTGAGCCGTGATCGCGTCACTGCACTCCAGTCTGGGCAACAAAGAGGGAAACTCTGTCTCAAGAAAAAAAAAAGGGAGCTATGTCTATACAATCCGGCTTCAGCGATCTGGTGCGCAGTGGCTCACGCCTGCAATCCCAACACTTTAGTTGAGGCGGAAGGATCACTTGAGCCAAGGAGTTAGAAGCCAGTCCTGGAGTTAGAAGCCAGCCCTGGCAACACAGTAAGACCCCATCTCTACAAAAAAAAAAAAAAAAAAAAAAAAAAAAAAAAATTAAAAATTAGCTGGCCTTTAGTGGCTTATGCTGAGGCGGGAGGATTACTTTAGCCCAGGAGTTCAAGTGAGTTGATTACGCCACTGCCCTGCAGCCTGGACTACAAAGCAAGACCTTGCCTTCGCACTGGTTGAAGGGGGTGAGTCACAGTAGTGGAAAGGAACTTGGAGTGCTCTTGAGTTGCGTGGTGGTAGGCTGGGTTTATTCGGTTTGTGGAGAATCATCCAGGTGAATATTTATATATGAGAGGTTTTTTTTTGTTTTTTGTTTTGTTTTGTTTTTTTTTAAGGAATTGGCTTATGCAACTGTGGACCTGGCTAGTAAGTGCTAAATCCATAGGGCAGGCTGTCAGGAAAAGCAGGCCATTGGAAAGGACAGGCTGGAAACAATACAGAAAATCAATGAAACCAAAAGTTGGTTATTTGAAAAGTTCACCAAAATTGACAAATATTTAGCTAAATAAACCAAAAAAAAAAAAGAAGAGAGGGCCGGGCGCAGTGGCTCACGCCTGTAATCGTACCACTTTGGGAGGCCAAGGTGGGCGATCACCTGAGGTCAGGAGTTCGAGACCAGCCTGGCCAACATGGCGAGCTCCCCGTCTCTACTAAAAATACAAAAGTTGGCGGAGCATAGTGGCGGCGCCTGTAATCCCAGCTACTCAGGATACTGAGGCAGGAGAATCGTCTGAATCCAGGAGGCGGAGGTTGCAGTGAGCCGAAATCGCGCCACTGAAGTCTGGGAAACAGAGTGAGACTCTGTCTCAAAAAAAAAAAAAAAAGAAGAGAGAAGACTCAAAAGACTAAAATCAGAAATGAAAGTGGAGGTGTCTGCTCTACCTACGCTGAACCCGAGGCGGGAAGCTCAGGACATAGCCGTTGATTGGCTGGCTGAGGCGCAGCTTGATGGCGTCGGGTTGACGAGCCACAGGCGGCACCTGGGCGAATGCCGGCTGTGTGAGAGGCCGGTGGCCCCAGGGAGCCGCGGCCTTGGAAGTGGGAAATGGAGGCAGGAGCCCTCCCTACACTTCACCATAGGCTTCCTGATAGATTCCAGCATCATGATTACCTCCCAGATACTTTTTTTTTTTTTTTTTAATTTGGGTGGCTTTTCTTCATGGGCCAATTGTTTAAGAACTATGAGGTGCGTCAGTATGTTGCATGGGTGACCTTCTCTGTGATGTTTGCATTTTCTTGCACTATGTTTGAGCTCAGCATGTTTGAAATCTTAGGAGTATTGAGTAGCAGCTCTCGTTATTTTCACTGGAAAATGAACCTGTGTGTAATTCTACTGATCCTGGTTTTCATGGTGCGTTTTTACACTGGCTATTTTGTTGTGGGCAACATCCGACTACTTTTATCTCCTCTGTCTTAGTGCATAAACAACAACTGCTTTTTTCCTGTCTCTTGTGGTTGACCTTTAGCTATTTCTTCTGGAAACTAGGAGATTCCTTTCCCATTCTCAGCCCAAAACATGGGATCTTATCCATAGAACAGTTCATCAGCTGGGTTGGTGTGATTGGAGTTACTCTCACGGCTCTCCTTGCTGGATTTGGTGCTGTCTACTGCCCATACACTTTCATGTCTTACTTCCTCAGGAATGTGACTGACACAGATATTCTAGCCCTAGAATAGTGACTGCTCCAAACCATGGATATGATCATAACCAAAAAGAAAAGGATGGCAATGGCACAGAGAACAATGTTCCAGAAGGGGGAGGTACATAACAAATCATCAGGGTTCTGAGGAATGATAAAAAGTATTACCACTTATTCAATAGGAAGTGGATGCTTTGGAAGAACTAAGTAGGCAGCTTTTTCTGGAAACAGCTGATCTGTATGCTACCAAGGAGAGAACAGAATACTCCAAAACCTTCAAAGGGAAATATTTTAATTTTCTGGGTTACTTTTTCTCTGTTTACTGTGTTTGGAAATTTTTCATGGCAACAATCAATATTGTTTTTGATCGAGTTGGGAAAATGGATCCTGTCACAAGAGTCATTGAGATCACTGTGAATTATCTGGGAATCCAATGTGATGTGAAGTTTTGGTCCCAACACATTTCCTCCATTGTTGTTGGAATAATCATCGCCACATCCATCAGAGGACTGCTGATCACTCATACCAAGTTATTTTATGCCATCTCTAGCAGTAAGTCCTCCAGTGTCAATGTCCTGCTATTAGCACAGATAATGGGCATGTACTTTGTCTCCTCTGCGCTGCTGATCCGAATGAATATGCCTCTAGAATACTGCACCATAACTACTGAAGTCCTTGGAGAACTGCAGTTCAATTTGTCCCCATTGGTTTGATGTGATCTTCCTGGTCAGCACTCTCTCTAGCACAGTGTTTCTCTATTTGGCTCACAAACAGGCACCAGAGAAGCATATGACACCTTGAACTTAGGCCTACTACAGACTGTTAGAGGCCAGTGGTCTCAAAATTTGGATATGAGAGAGGAAAAAATGGAGGGGACAAGGGTCTAACATTTTATAAACAAACAAAATGCTGTGGTAGCATTTTTTACCTCTAGCATCCTCTTTCCTACTCAGGTGATACTGTGATCATGAGTAGCATCAGCTAGAACATGAGAGGGAGAAGTAACTCAAGGCAATACTCAGCAGAGAGCATCCTATGTGGACCTGAGGCTGGTGCAATGGCAGAGAGGAACCAAAAAACTAGAAGGAAAAAATACACTGGAACTCTGGGGCAAGAGATGTCTAATGGTAGCTGGGCCAAACACATAGGATATCCATTTTAAGTTTCACTTGGAGGTGGTCATAGCTTTCCCTTGAGATTGACTGTCATTAAAATCAGAGATTGTAATGAAAAAAATAAAGAGAAAGAAAGGGAAGGAAGGAAGGAAGGAAAAGAAAAGAAAGAAGAGACATTACAAATTTACAGAAATCAAAAGGATTATAAGAGAATATTGTGAGCAATTGTATGCCAGCAAATTGGATAATCTAGATGAAGTGGATAAGCTCCTAAAAACAATCTATTAAAATGTAATTACAAAGAAATAAAAAATCTGAATAGACCTATTACTAGTAAGGATACTGAAGCAGTACGATACAAAATTTCTCCACAAATTACTAGCAAACTAAAGTTAGCAATGTTTTTGGGTTTGTTTTTGTTTTTTGAGAGGGAGTCTCGCTCTACCACCCAGGCTGGAGTGTAGTGGCGCAATCTCGGCTCACTGCAACCTCCACCTCCCAGATTCAAGCAATTCTCCTGTCTCAGCCTCCCGAGTAGCTGGGACTAAAGGCACACACTGCCACATCTGGCTAATTTTTTGTATTTTAGTAAAAACGGGGTTTCACTGTGTTGCCCAAGCTGGTTGTGAACTCCTGAGCTCAGGCAATCCGCTGACTTGGCCTCCCAAAGTGCTAGGATTACAGGCGTGAGCCACCATGCCTGGCTAGCAATATGTTAAGAAGATTATACACTATGAAAAAGTAGGATTTATTCCTGGAATGTGAGGATAATTCAACATATAAGTATCAGTCAATGTAATATATACCCCATTAACAGAATGGAAAAAAATTACATAATCACCTCCATTGATACTGAAAAAGCATTTGACAAAATCCCACACCCTTTCGTGAAAAACAAACAAACAAAACCCACCCAATGAACTAGAAATAGAAGAAAACTTCCTTAGCATCATAAAGGCTACTTATGATTAACTTTCAACTAACATCATATTCAATAGTGAAGGGCTGGCCGAGCACAGTGGCTCATGCCTGTAATCCCAGCACTTTGGGAGTCGGAGGCAGGCGGGTCACCTGAGGTCAGGAGTTGAAACCAGCCTGGCCAACATGGCAAAACCCCATCACTACTGAAAATACAAAAAAATTAGCCGGGCATGGCGTGCGCCTGTAGTCCCAGCTACTCAGGAGGCTGAGGCACAAGAATCACTTGAACCTGGGAGGCAGAGGTTGCAGTGAGCTAAGATCTCACCACTGTACTCGAGCCTGGGCGACAGAGTGAGACACCCTCTTAATTAAAAAAAAAAAAAAAAAAAAGAAAGAAAAAAAAAGTAGTGAAAGACTAAAGCTTTTTTTCCAAGATCAGCAAAAGACAAAAATGCCCATATTCACCACACTATTCAGCATAGTGTTGTCAGTTCTAGCCACAGAAAGTAGGCAAGAAAGTGAAATTAAAAGCATACCAGCTGGCCCTGTGGCTCATGCCTGTAATCCCGACACTCTGGGAGGCTGAGACAGGAGGATCACTTGAGCCAAGTAGTTCGAGACCAGCCCAGGCAATATGGCCAAACCCCGTCTCTACCAAGAATACAAAAATTATCTGGGTGTGGGTGGGAGGATCACTGGAGCCCGGGAAGTCAAGGCTGCGGGGAGCCATGATTGTGCCACTGCACTCCAGCATGGGTAATCGCCTGTCTCAAAAAATAAATAAAATAAATTTAAAATATTAAAATTTTAAAAAGAAACTTGCATGCCAGTGTTTCACAGCAGCATTATTGATTTTGGTTGATTCTACCTGTTGACTATTCAGAAAGCCTAAAAAGTAGTAAAATTTTGATACAAGCTGATACATGATATATGAATAAAGAGTGAGAACATTATTCAAAGTGAAATAAGCCAAACATAAAGGACAAATATATGATTTCCACAATAGTAAAATTCATAGAGACAGACAGAGTAGTTACCAAGAGCTAGGAAAGTGGAGAGAAATGGGGAGTTATTATTGAAAGGATACAGAGTTTCAATTTTGGATGATAAAAAGTTCTGGAGATGGATAATGGGGATGGTTGCACGATGATGTGAATGTACTTAATTCTACTGAAATGTATACTTAAAACTAATTCAAATAACACATTTTATGTTATGTATATCTTACCACAATTTTTTAAAGGCCCTAAAAATATGTAAGGATGTAAATTAAATGGTTTAGAAAAGTAAAGGGATAGGCTGGGCGCAGTGGTTCACGCCTGTAATCCCAGCACTTTGGGAGGCGGATCACAAGGTCAGGAGTTAGAGACCAGCCTGGCCAATATGGTGAAACCACGTCTCTACTCAAAATACAAAAATTAGTCAGGTGTGGTGGCGCACGCCTTTAGTCCCAGCTGCCTGGGAGGCTGAGGCAGAAGAATCGCTTGAACCCAAGAGGCAAAGGTTGCAGTGAGCTGAGATCACACAACTGCACTCCAGCTTGGGTGACAGAGGGAGACTCTGTCTCAAAAAAAAAAAAAAAAAAAGAAAAAAGAAAAGTAAAGGGATGAAGATATATAACACAAAGGTTAGGCTGGGTGTGGTGGCTCATACCTGTAATTCCAGAACATTGCAAGGCTGAGGCAGGTGGAACACTTGCGACCAGGAGTTCAAGACCGGCTTGGCCAAAATGGTGAAACCCTGTCTCTACTAAAAATACAAAAATTAGCCAGGTGTGGTGGCCCACCCCTATAGTCCCAGTTACTCAGGAGGCTGAGGCATGACAATTGTTTGAACACAGGAGGCATAGGTTGCTGTGAGCCAAAATCGCGCCACTACACTCCATTTATGAGAGTGAGTCTCAAAAAATAAATTAAATAAATTAAATAAAATAAAGTTAAAAACAATAACAACGCCCCCCCAAAAAAACCACAAAGGCTAACCATAAAAAAGTTAACATAAAACATATGTATTAACATAAAGTGTAGATTTTAAGACAAGGAGTATTACCATAGAGACATGACATAATAAAAAAAAAAGGAGGCATTTCATACTGATAAAACAGAGACATTTTATAAAACAGAAATATGTAAATGCTACATGTGTAGCATTCAATATATATTGTATATATTCAATAATATTTAACAACACAAAATGATATGAAAACTTATGTCTACACAAAAATCTATCACAATTATTTGTAACACCTTTATTTATAATAGCAAAACACACTACTAAAATGTACCTCAATAGGTAGATGGTTAAAGAAACTGTGGTACATCCATACAATAAACAACTACTCAGCTATTAAAAGGCAGGAACTGTTGATACAACAAATTGGATGGATCTCAAGAGCATTAGGTTGTGAAAAAGGCCAACCTTTTTTTTTTTAAGACAGAATCTTGCTTTGTCACCCAGGCTGGAGTGCAGTGGCACCATCTCCACTCACTGCAACCTCTGCCTCCCGGGTTCAAGCAGTTCTCATGCCTCACCCTCCCGAGAAGCTGGGACTACAGGTGTGAGCCACCACGACCAGCTAGCTAATTTTGGTATTTTTAGTAGAGATAGGGTTTCACCATGTTGGTCAGGCCGGTCTTGCACTCCTGGCCTCATGTGATCCACCTGCCTCAGCCTTCCAGAGTGCAGGGATTACAGGTGTGAGCCACCACACCTGGCCTATTTCTATAACATTCTAAAAACAAAATAAAAAACAGAGATTAAGAACACATTAGGCCTGGCACAGTGGTTCATGCCTGTAATCCCAGCACTTTGGGAGGCCAAGGTAGGTGGATCACCTGAAGTCAGGAGTTCAAGAACAGCCTGGCCAACATGGTAAAACCCTGTGCCTACTGAAAATACAAAAAATAGTCAGGTGTGGTGGAACGTGCCTGTAATCCCAGCTACTTGGGAGGCTGAGGCAGGAGAATGGCTTGAACCCGGGAGGCAGAGGTTGCAGTGAGCCGAGGTTGTGCCCCTGCACTCCAGCCTGGGCAACAGAGTGAGACTGTCTCAAAAAAAAGAAAAAAAAAAGAACATATTAGTTGTGCGGGGGTGGTTGGCATGGGAAGTGAGTGTAACTAATTAAGTGGTGGCACCCACAGGGAAGTCTTTGTGGTGATGAAACTTTTTTTCTGATTTCCAGTGATAGTTACACAAATCTACACATGATAAAATGATCTAGAACTACATACAAACATTGTACCAACGTCAGATTCTTGGGTTTAATATTGTACTATAGTTATATAAGATGTAGCCCTTGGGGGGAACTAAGTTACGGGTACAGGGAACTTCTCTTTGCTTTCTTTGTAATTGCCTGTAAATCTATAATTATTTCAAAATTTAAAATTTTAAAACCTGATGGTAATGGGGCACGATGGCCCGCACCAGTAGTCCCAGCTACTAAGGAGGCTGAAGCAGGATAATCACTTGAACCTGGAAGGCAGAGGCTACAGTGAGTTGAGATCACACCACTGTACTTTAGCCTGGGCAATAGAGTGAGATTCCATCTAAAAAAAAAAAAAGTAATAAGAATGTTCTCTAATCAATATAGAATTAAACTAGAAGTCAGTAACAGAAACAAAGGAAAATATCCCCAAATGCTTGGGAAAATAACATCACACTCCTAAACAACCTATGGGTTAAAGACAAATTACAAGAGAAATTAGAAAATAGTTTGAACTAAAAATAATAAAGTACAATATATCCAAACTTATTGATAGTTGCTAACACTGTTCTTGGAGAGAAAGCTATAGATTTATATACATATAGTATCCAGTTGGGCATGTAAGAAGCTACAAGTCATCACTAAGTCCTAAAAACAAGTAAAACCTGAACAAACTGAAAACCCAGCTCTTCTTATGTCTGTCAGAAAAAATGAGGTCACAGGGCAAGCCACTGCTTCCAAAATTGAAAAGACAAATACAGAGAATCACAACTTACCAGAGCAGAAACCCACATAACAGACACCATGTGAACTAGTGCTGGAGCAGGGAAATCTGAACTCTAATTAGCAAATTGTTGGTGGCTCAA